AACAATTACATCAATAGAAGGAAAGTATTTCTATTGATGCAGATATGCTAACATAGTGATGCTAATTCCAAACAATGTTTTTAATTTTCAGTCCCATCTGCTTTATCTTTTTTTAATTAAAAATTTTTTAATTACAGTTGCCATACAATATTATATTAGTTTCAGGTGTACAACGTAGTGATTAGACATTTATATAAATCATGAAGTGATAGCCCTGATAAGTTTATACCCATCTGACACCATATATAATTATTACAATATTAGAGGCCCAGTGCACAAAATTTGTGCACTCGGTGGGGAGGGGGGAGTGGTCCCTCAGCCTGGCCTGCACCCTCTCACAGCCCAGGAGCCCTCAGGGGATGTCTGACTGACGGTGTAGGCTCGCTCACCGGAGGAAGCGGGTCTAAGCTGGCAATCAGACATCCTTAGCGCTGCCGCAGAGGCGGGAGAGGCCCCCACCACTGCCATTGTGCTTGCCAGCCATGAGCCCGGCTCTTGTGTTGAGTGTCTGCCCTCTGGTGGTCAGTGTGCATCATAGCAACCGGTTGTTCTGCCATTTGGTCGCTTTGCATATTAGCCTTTTATTATATAGGATTATTGACGATATTCTGTTGTATTTACAGAATACATGATAACTAGGTAGATGATCAAACTAATTAAGGCTTTGTGACTGGGATGCTATTCCTTATTTGTCTTTCGTAAGTCTGCTTTTCTCCAAGTGATCTTTGGTATTTTACATGCTTTTTTGCAGTTATAAAATGCAGGTGAAGAGGTTTCTTTGGGACACAGTGTTGCTTTAGGCTCAATCCAAAGTTTATTAAGCCCTGTTTTAATAATCCATAGGTTTGAGGTCGAAAACAGGGAAGGAGGCTCCTCTGGGATAGCAGCTCTGGCTCCATTTTAAAGTGGCTCCGTTTATTTTATCTTTTACAGGTCTCAAGGTCTCTTAATTTCTAAAAAGGTAACAATACCAGTTCTCAATTTATAGTAAGCAAGAAAACCTGCACATAAGTATTCTAAAACCATAGGTAATTGACAGTGATTAAATTATATGATAACTGCAAGCTGCCAGGATTGCCCTTCATTACATGTTACCCCCTCCAAGGAGCAGAGGTGTTTATTGGATGCTGCCTTCCATCACATGTGCCTAAAACAGGCTTCAGACATGTAACTTGGGAAATGCTGCTTATCCTTTTCTTCCTCTCAAAAGGTTACACCTAGAGGCAAGAAATACGTAATTAGCACTCCCCACTTGATGTATGTGATTGATGTAGACTCTCTGACTTGTTTTTCTTCTCCCCTACAAATGGACCAACATTAAGTTGACCTACTGCTTGCAGGAACCCACTCACTTGTCATTAATTATTATCCATAAGAGAGGAAGAGGCAGATAGAGCCCATGGGAAGTTCATGGGCTTTAGAATTAGACAGATTTGGGATTGCATACTGGCTTCTTCACTTACTGAAGTTAGGAAAGTAATTTAACCTTTCAATTTCTTCATCTATGAAATAAGTACTATGTCATCTGCCTTGCTGCGATATTGTGAGGATTTTTAGTATTCTCAAAGGGATCTAGCAGTACCTGGTCCTGGTAGACTAGTCTATAAGGTCCTCTTGGTCTGAAGCTCCTTGTATAAAACATAGAACATATTGGGTTCTCAATGAATATTGAGCATGACACATAGTAACTAAGGACTTAGCAAATGGTAATTGTTATGACTACACAAAGTAAAACAGTTTTACTTTTTTAAAAATAAAATATACATGTTACATTTTTTAAAATTTCAATTGTTATTATTTCTCTGCAAGTAGATAAGAATTGTTAAACATGAGGTAATTATTCTACAACAGGGCAGAGTTGATGTAAACATAAGAGATATGAAATGGTATGCTTTAAAAGCTTATTGGTTCCAACAAATTATGTTGTTGGGGTCCAACCCCAGCAGGTCCAGGGGTTCCCCAAGGTGTGGACGGAGTCGGCGATGAAGGAATGACACGGAGACAGCGTTCAGTTGATCAGCAGCCTAGCCAGGATCTCCAGATGTTATCACTGCCAGTCAGATGTTCCATCCATCCATGTGTCCATGTTACAATACACTGTAGTACAGTGATGGCGAACCTTTTGAACTCGGCGTGTCAGCATTTTGAAAAACCCTAACTTAACTCTGGTGCCGTGTCACATATAGAAATTTTTTGATATTTGCAACCATAGTAAAACAAAGACTTATATTTTTGATATTTATTTTATATATTTAAATGCCATTTAACAAAGAAAAATCAACCAAAAAAATGAGTTCGCGTGTCACCTCTGACACGCGTGTCATAGGTTCGCCATCACTGCTGTAGTACCTGCATGCATGGGTGGCTAAATCCCATGTACAGGTGAAGGTTCTGTAATACCAGGACCTCAGGTTCACTGAAGGGATTTGCCCTCCCTGTTCATTATATTATTATATTATTTGGTTCATTCTTTGATTTTATTTAAGGATTATACCTGTGATTATTAGGTAGCATTCTGTTTTATTTACAGAATACATGATGACTAGGTAGATGATCTAACTAATTAAAGCTTTGTGACTATGGGATGCTATTCCTTATTTGTCTTTTTTAAGTCTGCTGTTTCTCCAAATGATCTTTGGTATTTTACATGCTTTTATGCAGTTCTAAAATGCATTGCAGGTAGTGCTTAGAGGATTTTCTTCTGCATTTTAAAATTATCTCTCTCAGTTACAGAGACCTGGTAAAATAGGGGCCCTTACCTATTGCATCTCTATAAGGAAATAGTTTCTTGGCAGGCATATGATGTATTTTGGTTTAACATTACTTATGATAATTTAAAATTGGGGAAGTAAAAATGTGCTTGTTTGTAGAATTTCTTTATTTGAAGTTGTAGTCATAACTTGATTTATGAGACTTCCTTCTGTGCTCATGTTTTTCGTTTTTGTTTTTAAGCTGGTGACAATTCACCCAGTCTCACAAACCATAATTCTGAGAGTCATCTCTTTGATTCCTTTTACTCCATAATCTAAACAATCCCTGAGTTCTACCTTTTTTAAACCATTCATTGTTCTCCATCCAGTTCATCCCATCTTCTCTGTTTCTGCTGCCATTATTCCAGATCAGGTGCCAGATACTGTTCTCAGCTCTTTCCTAACTGAGCTCCCTGCTTCAAGCGTGCCCTTTTCTTCACAATTGATTGTCTTAAGTGATATCTGACTCTATCCCTCTTCTTAAAACCTTTTAAAACTCCTTGTCAACCCACAGGTTCAAATTCAAGGTTCTTAACATTACAATTATAAGTAACTCTTACTCTTTAAATCTCAACACAATACCTCCTTAAGGGGTTTCTGACTACTCCACAGCGGTTTATATTACCTTTGAGAAAGAAGTGAAGAAAATCAACTTGTGAAATTTCCTCCTACTTAAGAATAGTATAGTGACAGGTGAAGTCAAGTGTGGTAGCAGGTTTAAAGTTCCATTGCAGTAAAGGTTACTAACATCTAAAGAAGGAATGTGAACTTTGAGAGGAGGGTGATATACAGTGGTAACATAGAGAAAAGCTGGGAGTCACAAGAGTAAAATTGGCAGTGCCAAAGCATTACTGGAGGCTTGCCCATCCCTGTTACCCAGCTCTTGCTTATTCCTGTTGTGCAGGTAAATGTATCAGAGTGTCTGTGCCTGGTGCCATTAAGTATTCTAATCACAATTAAGTCCCTTTGCGCAGTTTAGTAGATGATAGTTTGCTTTAAAGGAGGAAATAAAGCTGTTAAATTGCTTGTTTGGATTTATATACCAGTGTTTTTGTTTGTGTGACTCACTTTTGGTGGTTACACTGATAGAGTCATATTTCTTCTTGAGCACACCGAATTCACTAAGATACAGTACCTTGTAAACACTTCTTGGCAGCTCATCAGCCAGCTCCTCTGGTGACGCCATCCACCATGATGTGCAGCTCTTTATGCCGTCCTTGTTCAAATGGCTTGTTCAAACACTTTTCCTTAGGCTTCTAAAAATATTAACATTGAAATGATTTGAGTAAATAGATGAGCTACTGAGTAGTCTCTTAATATAGTAGTGTTTCCCTACAATGTTACAATTCATGGTTTATATAACTCAGTATATTACTATAAATTTGTTAGGTCTTCACTCTTCCTAACTTTTCCTACCCTTGAGTTTCAAGGAAAAAAAATTTAATTTACTCTGAGTAAATGAATGAATTTAGGGTTCAGATTTATATTGCACTCTCCCTTCCTGGGCACCCAGAAAGCCATTTATTAAAAACCCACTGTGTGTCAGGCAGTGTACTGGATTATGTTTAATACTTTGACAGATATTCCTGCAAAGGATTTTTACAGATGAATTGGAGACTCAAAATAGGTTAAATGACTCTTCCATGATTACAGCTAGGAAAATAGCAGAGTTGGGATTTGAACCCAGAGCTATTAAATTTCTGAATTTCCTCTCTTCAAGTTCAGAGCACTTGCCTAGAACATTTAATTATGTTTAAATAAAACATACTTCTAGACCATTTTTCTAAACCTGTGGAACTTGATTAAATAGCTATGCTATATTCATTTTGGGGATTTTTCTCGTTTGGGGATTTTTTTTTAAAGAAGAGTGTTATGGATTTCATTGTTACTTACATTTAATTTATACAGTTGATTTTTCTGAAATAATTTCTTGCCTAGTTATAACTTTCCTCTTTCCCAAATTAATTTCTACAAAATTAGTTCATGCCAAGAGTTTATTCAGTATTTGCTATTAAATATGTGACTGTTTTTCTTTTAAATGGTTCCATTTTAAAGGCCGATCCATTGCCCAACAAAATCTCCTCCCCTTTCCCAAATGTAAATGTAAATTCTGCCTGTTCAGAAGCTCTGCATTGTTTTCTGTTGGAAGTGTAAGCTGAAGGGGACAGACATTCCCACTGCTTGGCGGGTGCACTAAGCTGTGATCTGCCCTTGTTGTATTATTAATGGCACAATGTTTTTATGTTGCAGATGGCTGAGAGCTAGCAAGGAAAATTCAGGAGCATGATGGCTCAGTTTCCCACAGCTATGAATGGTAAGCGTAAGCAGCTTTGTGCTTGTAGGAAGATAAAGAGGTTATGAGATTGGGGGGAGCGGCGGGGAGTAGAGGTTATAAAATATTCTTTTGTCATATTTTTCTTTAAGTGTAAAAATGCAAAACTTTAAGTATTTTTTTTAACTTAAAGTATTCTTATTGAAAATATTTGGACAGTCTATTTCAAAACACTGCATATAGTTTCTATTAGAATATTATGAATCCCACAACTCATTGTAAGCATGTTCTGCTGTATCATCTGGAATGTGTGCTTAAGAATAACTTAAAGCCATATTGTGTTTGATGTATAAAACCGGAGGACAAAAAACAGAGTGCTATGAGCAGCAGAATATTAAAGTTGTTTTTTATAGCTTGGGATGATTGTAAATTGATTAAGCCAATAATTGTAGTGATAATGTGCTCTAACAAATTTGAGAATATCTATGCCCCATACAAAGGAATTTGCATTAAAAACAGTTTAGTTATAAACTTCAACCAACATGTTAAGCAGGTTTATAAATAAAATGAACATAATAGAAAGCAGTACAGCAGGTCCTCAAATAATGTCCTTCTATTCAACGTTTCAATGTTGATGAGAAAAAGAAAATTGATTCCTACCCGGGACCGCTGTCTGTGTGGAGTTTGCATGTTCTCCGCACATTTAGCTGGGTTTCTCTGGGGACTCCAGTTTCCTCCCACATCCCAAAGACGTGGATGTGAAGTGAATTGGGTGTCTAAATGGTCCCAGTCTGAGTGAGTGTGGGTGTGTGTGTGAGTGGCCCTGCTATGGAAGGATATCCTGTCTAGGGTGGGTCCCGCCTTGTGTCTTGAGCTGCCAGGAGAGGCTCCAGCCACCCGGGCCCTGAACTGGAATAATCCAGTTAGAAAAGAATTCTCTTTTTGGTTTTATTCATCTTTCATAAATATATGGAGCTCTACATTTATTTCAGTGTTTAGTATTAGAAGTGTTTTGGGTCTTAATTTAGAAGTTTGGTGACATTTTTGTGACCAAAAATATGCCATAGGAACTTAACTCTTATTTATATCAATTCGCCTATGGAAACATTAGTTTCATTACACATCATTTTGCTTAAAGTCATTGTTTCCAATAACCTATTGACCATGTTAAGTTAGGGCACACTGTACATGCCCAATGTTTATTCATTTTGTTTCTTCCATTTCCTTAAACATTATGTTATTGTTTTAATGGCTAATACCATTTGAACTTATCTCTGAGTGCCCTAGACCAAGCTGATTGTCAAAATGCTTGACGTGTTCCTCAATTTTTGCCACGTCTACTTTATTATCTGAAACTAACCACAGACTTTTGGACTTCTTTGGTTCTTACAGAGCTGCATTATCTAAGATAGTAGCCACTAGCTACATTTGGTTATTTCCATTTTAATTTAAATTAATAAAAATTAAGTAAAATTAAAAATTCAGTTCCTTAGTCACACAGCATATTTCAAGTGCTCAAAGCCACACGTAGCTAGTGGCTATTGTGTTAGTGCAGACACAGAACTCACCATGGGTTTTTGTTTCCTCACCTGTAAAATGAGGATATTAATAACACACGATTTTAAGGTACTGGTGGGAGTCAGTGAATTATTGCATATAAAGTATCTGAAGGGTAGTTAGGGCTCTAGAAAGGTGAGCTGCTTCCACCTTTGTCATCCTTTGTTGTCATGTTTTACCATCATCATTTTTCTAGAGTCATATAGTAGCAAATCAGTCGATAGCCACTCTATTTGCCTTCCTAGTCACAAGAATCGTGACATGTTAATTTGTTTATTTTATAATAAACTGATAAACTAAGTAGGTGTTTTTTTTTTACTGTCAATGTGGTATTTCTTTATTTAGAAAGTGTGTAGGTGTAGCTATTTTAGGTTTTTAGTTCTTCAGTACATATGTTTCTTTATTTTTAAATCTAATCTTAAAACTTGTCTTTAAGAGAGGATGCTTATAGATTTTTTTTAAAAATCCAATCATTTAGGGCTAATTGTGTGTGTGTGTGTGTGTGTGTGTGTGTGCAGCAAAGACTATGTGACCTGGGCTTAGCAATACAGTGCTTAAGGCAGACAGTCATTACGTGGAAGAATTAGTGTTTCTTTGGCTCTAAATAATTTATTGGGGGTGACATTGGTTAATAAAATGATGTAGGTTTCAGTTGTATAATTCTACAATACAGCATCTGTATATTCTATTGTATTGTGTTCCCCACCCCAAGTCACAACTCCTAAGTATGTATTAAATCAAATATATCATAGTGTTTTGAATTATAGTGGACACCTACATTTCAATGATAAGCATTCCTGGAAACAACTTTGTAAGGGAAATTTTTTTATAATGTAGGCAGCAAACATACATGAGTTTATATACCTAAGCATATTTAGTTTCTTATTGGTAGAAGGTGAATTTGTAAAGTAGTCAGAAGTGAAAAATAGATGGTTATGAGCCACATTGAATGTATTGAGCTCTAAAGACCTGCTCAGAGGGCTGGTATAACCGTATGTGAAGGATAGACCACAAAAAGATTGTGGCTCTTGTGCTCCCCAAGTCCTGATCTTGCCTGTCTTGTTTTCTGCTCCCTCTTTTATTCATTCACATGTTTATTCCTCAATCACTTCTAAGTGTTTGTTCTGTGCTGGGTACTCGGCTGGTTCTGGGAATAGAAAGGTAAACACACAAAGCTCCTGTTCTCCAAGGGCTCATAGTCTGGTAGGACAGATGGAGAGAAAACAATTACTGCACCTTTCTAAGTGCCCTGTGGAAGCATGGAGTAGCCTCTTGAGGATCTAGAGGAGGAAGCAATTAATTTGACCTGCAGGTATTAGCGACCTCCTAGAGGAAGTGACATCTGCCCTGGACCTTAAAAGATAAAGTTTGAAATAGAATGGGGTGGTGTGACTGTCTGTCAAAGTAAAGGGATGTTATGTATATGGGATTTGTAAGGATTTACTTTTCTAAGATAGTGGTATATCAGCATTTCTTTTATCCTAGATTGTTGTTGTTTTTTCTGTTGTTATATATTAAATATATTTATAGTAGTGTCACAGTTAACATTGTTTCACGTATTTGTTATATCACCCATGTTCAAAATTTTTTTAAGGTACAATTCCAAGGGAAAATTTGGTTTCTTTGACATGTAAAAGAGACTCATATTTTTATATTTAAATATCCATTTAGATACCTCTCCTTTACATTTTGTTACTTATTTTTAAATGACAAAAATAATACTGCTAAACTAATATAGATAGCAAAGTAACCAGGAAGGTAATGTGGGTAGTAATTAAGAGCACGAATTTTAGAGCTATAATTCTAAAGTACAAGAAAATTCTAGCTATAAGTTATATTAGCTGTATAGTATTAAGCAAAGTATCCAACCACCCAATGCTTCAGTTTTTCCTTCTGTAATACATGTAAAACCTAGTCCATGTAATTGTTATAAAAATTAAATGTAATATTAATATACTTAGCATGGTTGCTGGCATAAAGTAATACTCAGTAGATAGTAGTTGCTGCTTCTACTAAGTACTGCTATTACTCTGCTCATGTTAGACTTTAAAAATAAATGATAGAGAAGGTTATTTTCCTAAGATAGCTGGTCAAGAGTTGAGAGCAGTATGGTAAAGGGGATTAAAAAAAGACCTGTGTGAGTTAGGTGAGATTAACTCATCTTTTAACAGGATAAACCTGAAGGATGTATGCATCCTTAGGAGAAAGAATTTTCAGATACTGGACCATATCATTCACTTTGACAGCCACCAGGAGTTGCCTTTGGACAGCACTGTTGGCTAGGTGTCCAGAGTTGGCTGGGAGGTAAAGGTGGAGCAGACTATTCTGTGGAGGGATAGGAAGAAGAGGAGGCCGTGTGCAACCCTGGCTACACAAAAGAATCACCTGGAGAGCTTTTTTAACATTCTGAAGCTTGTACCCCATCCCCCAGAGATTCTGATTTAATTGTTCTGCTAGAATCGCTTCCCCCTGCCCCTAAAGCTCCCCAGGTGATTCAGCTAGGGGTGAAAACCTCTGGCATAGGACATTGGCTAGTCAAGTATTGCCTGGGACTACATATACCATTCTTACAACAATCCTAGGTAAGGATTCATAGAAGACCTAAGTCACAAAACTGGTTAGCGTTCAGACAAGGGCAGAATCTCCCTCCACTCTAGTCCTTTATGCTCCCCTGTGCTGTTAACAAAGGAAGAGGGCAAAGGTGTATTTGGAGTAGTAGGAAGTTGAAAGAATGGGTCTTATTTTTTTAGAACAAATGGAAAGGATTGTTAAAAATCATTGTTTGCTTGTTTTCTGTGGTTTGAGAGAACCTCAGAAATGTTCAGATTTAATGAGTCATTTTCTGTTTTAACATCTCTAACAAAAGAATACTTTCCGAGGAGTTGGATCCCTCTTCAGTAACAGCCCTAACTTTCTCAAACATGGTTATCCTGTTCCTAATTCCTATAGGATATCAAAACACTGTATTCTACATAACAGCTTTTAAAAACACTTAAAGTGGCTACCATGTGTTTTTTAATCTTTGATTCCTCTGGCTTAATATTTTAGTTTTTTAACTGCCTTATAGAAAAACTAGAGGCCAGTGCATGAATTGGTGCACGGATGGGGTCCGGCTGGCCTGCCCCTATTGGGGCGATGGGCCCGGCTGGCCAGAGGAAGGGGCCGTGGGCGGTCCTGCCCCCTGGCCGAACTCCCAGTTGAACTCCCGGTTGAACTCCTGGTCGAGGGTGCAATTTTCATATTAGTCTTTTATTATACAGGATATTTCTAGACCCTTCATTTTCTTGACCACATTTTTTCCTGTAGCTGCATCATTGTTCCTGTTGTCCTGTTCACTCATAACAACACTAAGTCTTGTTTCAAATTAGTGGTTTAAATTCATATTTTCTTTTTTCCTGGATCCCATTTAAATTATCAAAGAAAACATTTTGTTTTTAATCTGAGGTAGCTTTAGGACATAGGAAAGGCAGTGTATCAGAAACTTTGAAGAGTTTCCAGAAATTATGTAGCCGATTAGATTGGATTCAATACAGGCATAGGTACAATTCCATTAAATGATACAAAGTGTAAAGGCATAGGAGATTTGCATCCAGTGAGTAAATGGACTAATGTTTTCAGCAAAGCTCTGGAGTAAAGGGGGCTGGAGGTCAGAGTAGACCATGGGACTGATGGCAAATCAAAGGATTTCCATACTCCACCAATGGAGTTGGAACATTTTCTACAGAATCCAATCTCAGACTTTAAGGATACAATCAGTGCTCTAAGTAAAGTGGAGGATTGTAAAATGTATAACATGATGTTACAGAAATCAGTTAAGATTCTAATGAATACCAAACAACAAGTGAAGACTAGCATGTCAGTCTGGAATAACTGGGGGCCACAGACCCAAGGGGAGTTTATACTTACTCTCAAGCTGTTTCCTGTGGGCATCAACCAAAAAGACTGGGGACTGTGCAAGAGACCAGAATGAACCCCCACCTAATATTGCAGGCAACTGTAGGGGGACAGGCACAAAATACCATGCAATTTTCTGCATCCTTTTCTTTTACTCAGCAAAGTCTTTTTTTAAAAATATATTTTATTGATTTTTTTTAGATAGAGGGAGAGGGATAGAGAGTTAGAAACATCGATGAGAGATAAACATTGATCAGCTGCCTCCTGCACACCCCCTACTGGGGATGTGCCCGCAACCAAGGTAACTGCCCTTGACCGGAATTGAACCCGGGACCCTTCAGTCCGCAGGCCGACGCTGTATCCACTGAGCCAGACCAGTTAGGGCTCAGCAAAGTCTTAAGCTACTGTGGTCACTGGGGAAGGTGTTAGCGAAGATCCATCCCAAGGGCACAGGCAGAGACACATTGCTGGGATAAGGGTAGAAGAAAAAGCTCTGTCACTGAGGCGGGGAGGGAACCTTCTTGGGCCTAAGATTCTGTACTGATACCAAGTAGAGTTAATGTTCCTACTGCTGTTGGGGGAGAAGCAGGAAAGTCCTTCCCAAGACCAAGGAGGAGGAGACACGAGGAGTTTGGATGCCACGGGATGGAGGGGCCGGAACTTAGAAATCCACACCCTGGGGTCCAGAAACACAGGGCCTGCCTAAGACTGAGTGTGGATCAGGATCAAATGGTAGTCAGAGCTGTCTGGTGGGGTGGCAGGCTCAGCAGTCAGTTAAATTTAAGGTGCCTCCAGTAGTTTCGGAGAACCACACCAGAGCATTTACCTTTGGGAAGAAGGCTCCAGGGCCAGTCTGGAAGTTAAAGGTTATTAATGCCGCTTCTACCCTCACCTCTCCGTGTCGAAGGTGTTTCCTCCTCAGATGCCTGGTTGTTACTCTCTGCCACCACAAAATCTAGGTGTTCCATTTGGCTGTAACTTCACTGTGATCCAGAAGGGTTAGGTAAAAGAAGGTCAAGGATATTTTCGTACACCTAAACAGAATTAACTTTGAATCCTCTAAATCCCATTTTAGCTGAGCTGCCTGAAGCTGGAGGATGTACCAGCCAGGCCTTCCTGCAGTTTCTGTTAGAAAGAGAGATGCATCATGTCCAATAATGGTCAGGCTAGAATCCTGAATTTTCACCATAGATCTCTGTGTTCCCTTGGGCCAGTCTGTCTATGTTCTTGACTATATCATTTCTGTTGGGTTCTTCTCACTTTGTTAGTTGTGGAATTCAAGTTGACCCATTCCAAGGATGCTTCACAGTTTAACATGGAAAATACTGGAAGTTGTTTTCTAGAGTAAGAGTTCCTTGAGGATGGGAACAATATTTTATTCATCTTTTTATTTCCAGTATTTATCTTGTTGCCTGTTTCCGGTGAGTGGTATACAGTAATAGTTCAATAGATGTTACCTGGATGAATGAGTGAAAAGCCTTGAGGCTGTGCTATGTATGTTTGTGATAGAGCTTTACTCTTTGTGTCACTTGGGTATTAAGTACTGTCATTAAATAGGCATTTTTGATTCATATTTACATTTTAGAATTGTGTATTTTAAGCATTCTCAGATATACAGTATAATTTCTTTGTCTTCCATTTATGTTTTAGGAGGGCCAAACATGTGGGCTATTACCTCTGAAGAACGGACTAAGCATGACAAGCAGTTTGATAACCTCAAGCCCGCAGGAGGTTACATAACAGGTTTGTGTTTATATTTTATTTGTGACTTATGCTCCTTTTCATGTCATATCTTAGAAATAGTTTTGATTGCTGTTAAGTTTGTATTAAATGGTAAAATTTATACCAAGATGAAATATTGCCATTTGCAACAACATGGGTGGATCTCGAGAGTTTCATGCTACGTGAAACAAGTCAGAAAAGGACAAGAACCATGTGATATCACTTACCAGTACCTGTGAGATATAAAACAAAAGCAACAAACTTTATTACTAATGACACAGCTGTTAGCATGAGCATTAGCATGTTTCTGTCAACCTCCCTTGTACCCTGAGTCACACAGAGACCATGCAGAGATCCCAGAAGGATGCTACACATGCAGAGATTGTGTTGTAGGAGAGGAACACTGAGGTGGAGGAACCCACCATGTTTTAGCAAGTGGTAAGCTAGTTTATTCTTTGTCCCAGAGGGAAACATTACCTTGTCCTTCAAGATAGCTCACTGTAAACCCAATTCTGAGAAATGACCCAGGTAGAGAGCAGTTAGGATCTCCCATTGTTAGCATACACAGCTGTATATATAGGATTGTGAGAAGATCCATGGAGAGCTATTTAGAACTCTTCTAAGGAATAGTGTTTTAAACTATACATTTTATTAAATAGAAATATATCTAATAAGACTTCAATTATTGTGAAAAAACTGAGATGAATAATGTAATCATTTATCACTGATTAATCATATAACTAGTTGTGACTTTTTTTAGAACATCTAAGTCTTATTAAAGTAATATAAATAATTTTATATATGTATTTCTGTTTAATTTTTTAGTGATTGGAATTAAAATTATAATAAACCAATAACATTATTGTTGCCCATTATTATTATTCAGAGGCATTGGAATAATTCCTTCCACTAATGTGCAGCTTGATTTTTGTTTTTATTGCCTTCAGGTGATCAAGCACGTACATTTTTCTTGCAATCAGGCTTGCCGGCTCCTGTTTTAGCTGAAATATGGTAAAATAATTTTGTTGTAGATGATCTTAAATTTCCAATTGTCTGGTTTTGTTTTGTTTTTAATACAGTTTAACATAAAATTGTTTTTACTTGTAATCTGTTATTAAGTAAGAGTATTTCTTCAGCTTGTTAGAAATACATTTGATTGAGTAAATGATTGAAAATCAATTGGGGTTTTATTCTATAGGACAAATTTCTAATTTCCTTAGAATTTCTAAGGAAAGAAAATGTATACATTTTCATCGAAAAACACTTCTTTATAATTTGACAGAATCTCAAAATTTTCTTTCTGTTATTTTGTAGTTTCATTTATTTCATCATCTACAAACCCAAAATTATTCCTCTTTTCTTCTGTTTCTACCTTAAAGAAATTATGCTTTATGATATCTATAATAACATTTGTTTTTTAATGTACTTAAAGTAAATACCAATTTCTACTCCATTTTTCTCTCCACTTGAAATATTCCCAGCTTGGCCAAGTACCAGGCATATAGCAAGCATTCAATAAATATTTGAACAAATGACTAAGTTTAGAAGGATTATCCTTTTCTAAAAAAATTCTAACCCAAAGATATGTTTTTATTGATTTTTAGAGAAAAGGAAGGGGTAGAGAGAAAGAGAGAAACATTGATTGATTGTCTCCTATATGCACAGGGGAATGAACCCACAACCTAGCTTTGTGCCCTGACTGGATATCAAATCCACAGCTTTTTGGTGTACTGTATGATGCTCCACCCAACTAAGCCACCCAGTTAGGACAGAAGGATTATACTCTTGAATAATTTTTTTCCATTTGCATGATGGAATTAATTTCAAAGGTCTCTAGATTCTATATAGACTAACAGTATTTTATTATATACTATTTCTGGTCAGTATTTCTTGATGTATACGTTTCCGCTTTTTGAGATACATATGCACATACTTAATTGATGATCGATGTGTGAATGCTACATCATTGTTTTTATTTTATCATCCTCAAAAGTAATGTTTACGCTATGTACAATCTACCCACCTCATTGTCCTTTTAGGGCTTTATCAGACCTGAACAAAGATGGGAAGATGGATCAGCAAGAGTTCTCCATAGCCATGAAACTCATCAAACTAAAGCTACAAGGCCAGCAGTTGCCTGTGGTTCTCCCTCCTATTATGAAACAACCTCCTATGTTCTCTCCATTAATTTCTGCCCGTTTTGGTATGTGTTTATTAATTTAATTAGCTGCATTTGATAGTTAAACTCAATTCCTAGGCATAATATTTGGTGATCAAAAAAGGATTTGTTGGTATAAAATGACAATCCCCAGACTCCAAGTTAATTTCATGTCTGAGATAAGAAATATTAAATTCGCTGTCATACAGATGATTTGATTTTGGGTGGTGGGCACACAGTGCAATATACAGCTCTTGTAACATAGAAATCCATACCTGAAGCCTATATGATCCTATTAACCAATGTCACCTCAATAAATTTGATTTTTAAAATGATAATAATAAAATAAAAATTTCTGTCATAGCTAGGGTGTCCATGTATCCCAGTTTTCATAGGACAGTCCTTATTTATGTCTGTTGTCCTGGCTTCCATCCGGTTAGTGTGCCCTTTCATAATTCCAGGTTGGATGATAAATTATAATATCCCCCTCGCTATAGCTGATCCTAAATACTATTCTTAATAAGTTTCCTCTATATTTTGTATGAGTAACAGAAAAAATGTGAACAGTTTTAAACTCACTTGAAATAGTTAATTTGGGAGGGGCGTAATTTAAAATTATACATAAGTAGAAATTTCTTTAAAGGTTAGCCAACTAATTTTAGGGCTAAAAGTTGAAGACTTTGTGCTAATTAATTTACATATTCATCAGAGATAACCAGTTTTCCATTCATTTTCATTAGCCAATTTGTTATTAATTATATTTGAGAAGCACTCATTGAAATGGAATATTCAACTAGATAGCTCTGTGTACCTGAAACATGTGCCTCTACGCCAAATGTTAGATCTTAAAATGCTAGCTAGCTTCTTTCTCTATTGTAGTGAACTCTAGAGATAAATACCAAAGCATTGTGTGACTATATTTATATAATGTACTTAGTATTCTTCAGTTAGTAAATGAATAAGAGTTGTCACGTTGTTCCTTTGAGTGGGGGCAGTTTGGCTGTGTGTGTGTGTGTATGTGTGTGTGTGTGTGTGTGTGTGTGTGTGTAATTCAATAGCACTGTATTATCCTCACATTGGATCAGGTGATACAGCCTCTCTTTGAGGATACTTAATTTGGTCATGATACTGGAAGAGAATTTTTAACTCCTTGGTGGGCATTTTCTTAGTTCACACAGGTCAGACTATTGATATTAAAAGCAGTAGTTTACCTTCCTCACTGCTGGGGTAAAGCTGCTTTTGTGTATTTTTAAGACTAGTTTGCCCATAGTGTTCCTGTGAATATGGGGTCTGCTCATTGCACTATAAACTTGTTTTCTGGCATGTGTTTTATAATTGATTTACTAGCACTAGAAAATATGTTCTGTTTTGCCTTTAGGAATGGGAAGCATGCCCAATCTGTCCGTTCCTCAGCCATTGCCTCCAGTCGCTCCTATAGCAACAGCTTTGTCCCCTGCAACTTCAGGGACCGCCCTTCCTCCCTTAATGATGCCTGCTCCCTTGGTGCCTTCCGTTAGCACTTCATCCTTACCAAATGGAACTGCCAGTCTCATTCAGCCTTTATCCATTCCATATTCTTCTGCAAGTAAGTACTTTATGTCTAATAAATCAGTAGTTCATATGAAGAAAGAAACTGTTCATGTTCCAATAGAGGCAAATTTCTTTCATAATTTGTAATATTGTTTAGTGTGAACCTTTTTCATTTTTTTCTTTTCTTTTCTTTTTAGCATTGCCTCATACGTCATCTTATAGTATGATGATGGGAGGATTTGGTGGTGCTAGTATACAGAAAGCCCAGTCTCTGATTGATTTAGGATCTAGTAGGTATGAATACTTAAGCTTCCAACTTTTTATGTTTTAATAAGGAGTATTTAACAAATGACTATTTTTTAAATCTCTGAACTTATCCAGGTTTTACTTTATAATGGCCAAATGTAAACAATTAAGGTAAATTTACTTATTTATAACTCACATAAAATAATTGTTTTTATTTTTAGAATTATAAATGCCTGTGGTATTTTACCTTTGAAAAAATGTTCCATGTAAACAAAAAATATTTTGCTATGTTTTTAATCAGCCAAATTTTTTGCCCAGAGCTACATATTTTTCCTTTAAAAAAAAGTATGTTTTTAAAAATATTATAACCATTGTACATTAATTTCTTTCTTGAGCAAATTTTTCTGCTTGAGTATTCTTTAATTTCAGAAAACATTAATGCTCATTCCTCACCCCTTCTATAAATCACAATAATACCCTTTTTTTTATAAATTAAAAAGTTTTTCAATTATGCAGACATTCAGTATTATATTAGCTTCAGGGGTATAGCATAGTAGCCAGACATTTATACAACTTATGAAGTGATCCTCCCCAAAAAATCCAACACCCCCCTGACACCATGCATAGTTATTACAATATTATTGACTGTATCCCTATGCTGTACTTTACATTCTTGTGACCATTTCCTAACTGCCAATTTTACTTCTTAATCCCTTCACGTTTTTCACCCAGCCCCCCACCTGGCAACCATTGATTTGTTTTCTGTATCTATGAGTTTCTTTCTTTTTCATTTGTTCCTTTATTTTGTTTTTTAAATTACACATATAAGTGAAATTATATGGTATTTGTCTTTGACTAATACCATCTAGGTCAGTGATGGTGAACCTTTTGAGCTCGGCGTGTCAGCATTTTGAAAAACCCTAACTTAACTCTGGTGCCGTGTCACATATAGAAATTTTTTTATATTTGCAACCATAGTAAAACAAAGACTTATATTTTTGATATTTATTTTATATATTTAAATGCCATTTAACAAAAATCAACCAAAAAAATGAGTTCGCCCGTCACCTCTGACACGCGTGTCATAGGTTCGCCATCACTGATCTAGGTCCATCCATGTTGTCACAAATTGTAAGATTTCACTCTTTTTTATGGCCTAGTAATATTCCATTGTATATATTGACCACATTTTCTTTACCCAGTTATCTCACAATAATGCTCTTTAAAGCAGTGACCCAGAAGAATCTTTGTATCCTAGCTTACTCACTGAATGAATAACCTTTTTTTTCTTAACATCACTGAACCATATAAAAGCTGGGACAGTAATACCTTTTAAGTTTGTCAGGAGGATTAGAAGTAATATTTGTAAAGGCCCAGCACATTATGGGGCCTGGTACATTGTAGGTTCTTGATATATGGTATTTGCTTTCCTAAGAATAAGGATAATTGTTTGAATTTTTTTCAGTATCAAATACAAAAGCAATTACTGTTGTATTATAGAAGATATGATTCTTACTGTCTGCCTTATAAAGTTGAACTAAATATATTTTATTTAGTAACATAATATTTTTAAAATAAATTTTGTTATAGCTCAACTTCCTCAACTGCTTCACTCTCAGGGAACTCGCCCAAGATTGGGACCACAGAGTGGGCAGTTCCTCAGCCTTCAAGATTAAAATATCGGCAAAAATTTAATAGTCTTGACAAAAGCATGAGTGGATACCTCTCAGGTAAGTGGCATACAATGCTTAAGAATGTGAGTTAAAGTTTTTTTAAATGGACTTCTATTGAAGAACTTTGAATTTGTACTTTATAACTCATCTAATATTTTAACATCAAAAAAATTTGGCAGGCATTGGATATATGCAAATAATGTAAGTTGTATAAAAATTCAAAAATGGATATAACCTGATGGTTTTCTTCGAAGTTCTTACAATAAAGTTGAGCACACAGATGTACATGCAAAAGACTTCACCCTTGAGAAGATCAAACCTCATCCTCCAGAGTAGGGAGTGAATGAAGGGAGTGTGTGGGACTTAGCCTCAGTTCCCTGCGAATCCCTGTCCTCATGGGTCTTTCTCTACTTGCCCTTTCTAAAGGCACATGAGCATTGCTTATCCTTTAATGCTCAAAGTAGCCATAAAACCTGGCCTTAGACCCCCATAGACTATTGAGTGCGTGCTAGAACAAACATCCAAACTTTACTAGTTGAAAATAATAAAGGGGATATAAACAGAGGGTAATAGGCAAATAGACTTCCCACCTTCTGACTTTCCCCTCTCTTCACTCAGCAATGAAATACAATGCAGGCCAAGCAAAATAAGTGTTTAAGAGTAATAGAGCTTTAAAGTGCTATGGAACATAGAATGGGATATATTAATACTGATGCGATCAGATAAAACAGCTATAGGAAGGTTTTGGTTGGGAATGTACATTTGGGAATCACTAGCCTCTGGGTGCTATTTACAGTCATAGAAATGGATGTGAATACACAGAAAAGAATGTCCAGGGCAGATCTTTGGGGAGTATCAACATTTACAAGTCATTTAGAAGAGGAAGAGTAGAGACAAAGGAATGATCAGCGGGGAGAGATCTGAAAAGGCTAAGGAAGCAGTGCTTCCGGTTGCATTGGTGTGCCAGGAGACTCTAGACTAGAAGTTGGCCTCTAAATACTTTCTGTACTGGTGGCTCAGTCCTGCATGCCAGTCACTTGTGTATGGTTATCTTCTGAGCATTTGGCTCCACTAATTCTGATTTTGAATTCTTTGGGGACAGGGAATGTGTTGTTTTGATTACTACTGAATGCTCAGTGCCTGGCACATGGTAAAAATTTTTATGTTAAAAGTTCCCAGGATAGCAACAGTGTTATTTTACAGGTACAGCTATTTAGGTTTGTGTGACTTTAAAGAGGCTAAAGAACTTTCTTTTATTTTATTTTTTATGTTTTTCCCACTCAATCAGGTTTTCAAGCTAGAAATGCCCTTCTTCAGTCAAATCTTTCTCAAACTCAGCTAGCTACTATTTGGTGAGTTTGCCCATTAATTGTGATTTTTAACTATATATCCTCTATTATAAGATGTTTCTATAAAAGTTTGTGACTCAAAGATGTTCCATAAAAGTAGCTGCTTGAAAGTTAACACAACCTTGAAAGCAAATAAAATTGTGCAAAATGTTATTCATGAGAACTTTGCATTTAATTATTTTTTTTAAAATATATTTTATTGATTTTTTACAGAGAGGAAGGGAGAGAGATAGTTAGAAACATCGATGAGAGAGAAACATCGATCAGCTGCCTCCTGCACATCTCCTACTGGGGATGTGCCCGCAACCCAGGTACATGCCCTTCACCGGAATCGAACCTGGGACCTTTCAGTCCGCAGGCCGACGCTCTATCCACTGAGCCAAACCAGTTCCGGCTGCATTTAATTATTTTATAAGTAAAACTAGTTTGCTTTATATAATACCTTTTATGGAGAATTAGAAAATATCTCATTTTTAATGTACAATTAAATGTGATTTGAGTCCTGGCCAGTGTGGCTCAGTGGTTAGAGGGTCAGCCTGCACACCAGAGGGTCACAGTTCATTTTCCGGTCAAGGGCACGAATCTGGGTTGCAGGTTCACTCCCCACCCCCACATGTGCCCCCACATGCAGGAAGCAACTAATCAATGTGTCTCTCTCATATCGGTGTCTCTCTCTCTCTCTCTCTTTCACTCTCTGAAGAGCAATGGAAAAAAATTTCCTCAGGTGTGGATTAACAAAACAAAAAAAAGTGATTTGCTAGGTGAATTAACCATGAAAAAAGGCAGTCCACATTTTCAGAAGGAATAGTTTTCTTTCTATTTAAAAGTTTTTTTCCCTCTCTTTAGTGTTTTGAAATTAAGGGTAAAAATTAATTCACTTTTCTGTATCTCTACATTTTACTAAAATATGTTATGGTAACTATTTTACTATAATTCTTTTTTTAAAAGATTTTAAAATTGATTTTTAGAGCGAGAGGAAGAGAGAGGGAGAGAGAGAAATATTGATGTGAGAGCATCAATCGGCCACCTCCTGCTGCATGTCCCCTATAGGGGATCAAGCTCGCGACCCAGGCATGTGCTCTGACTGGGAATCAAACTGCCAACCTTTCCATGCATGGAACAACGCCCAACCAATTGAACCACTCTGGCCAGCACTATCATTATTACTGTTTTAAAAATAAAAAAATTGAATTATTTTGAAAATATTTTATTCCAAACTGAGACTTTATTTCTCACTTGTGAGTTTTCACATTTTTTTTAGGAGTCTGGCTGACATTGATGGGGATGGACAACTAAAAGCTGAAGAGTTTATCCTTGCGATGCACCTCACTGACATGGCCAAAGCTGGACAGCCTTTGCCTCTGACTTTACCTCCTGAGCTGGTCCCTCCGTCTTTTAGGTGAGTGCCCTTCACCCCTCAGGTGAAGAGGGGTGGTTTTGATCACTTGGCAGACATGAGTACTACTTTGGGATTTCCATTAGTTTAGTGGAGAGTTAAACATTTACACTGACATTTGATTTTGGAATTTAATGAATTACTGAGAAGGAATAGATATTAGAAGTAGTTGTGTTTTCACTGTTATCGATAAGAAAACTGATTACTAAAGAGAATAAATTTACCCAAAAAAACAATTGGCTGAGCCATGATTTGATCAGATCTCTCTGGCTTGACAATCCATATACTGCTGTTCATTATAACTACGGACCATACTGTGTTTTAAATATCTTTAATATATAATGTTCTAAATATTAATTTGCTCTGGTCATAGGTAATCTATATAATCTAGTCTAAAAATTCCCCGACTGCATGACGCTAAATTTATTTGTTGTTTGCTTTTCTTAGAGGAGGAAAGCAAATTGATTCCATTAATGGAACTCTGCCTTCATATCAGAAAATACAAGAAGAGGAACCTCAGAAAAAATTACCAGGTAACATTGAGTCTACGTTGTATATTTATAGTGAGTTCTCCTAAATTTTACCATGAAATGTAAATGAATATTCATAATTTTTATATTTTAAATATTTTATATGCCATACAAGAAACTGGGGTGGATTTTGACATCAATGAAATTAAGATTGTCAAAATTAAGAGAGTATGTATGTAGGAGGAAGAGACAATGTGTGTATTTGGCAAGAATGTGTGTATTAGCATCCTACTTAAAGTGTTTCTCCCACTTCAGGAGAAATCATTAGAGCAAATTTTGCAATGAAATCTTGAATTTTTAAAAATAGTTTAAATATTAGTTGAAAAAGTACATATGTAGATATTTTAAAATATTAATAAGTTAATGGCACATGTCAAATAAAATAAATATATAGCCATCCAACTTTGGTTGTCCTTAAAGAAATGTTGAGAAAAAAGTTGAAAAGTATTTTTATTGGTAGAAATAGTTAAAATTACTTCTCTCTTGGGTGGATTCAAACTTAGAAATCTTTTTTTCTAAAAATAAATATTCTTAGAGCAGAAATAGTTTACTATTTACATTTGGGTTAAAATTATCCTTAGGAGAAGTATCCAAAGAGTAATAGCCAAATGGTCACAAGGCATGTGTATGTTGAAACTGAATTGCAGGTTCAGCAGGCTCTTCATGTGTGAGGATGCTTATAATGTACCTTATTTAGTTACTTTTGAGGACAAGCGGAAAGCCAACTATGAGCGAGGGAACATGGAACTGGAGAAGCGACGCCAAGCCCTGATGGAGCAGCAACAGAGGGAGGCAGAGCGTAAAGCCCAGAAAGAAAAGGAAGAGTGGGAACGAAAACAGAGAGAATTGCAAGAACAAGAATGGAAGAAACAACTTGAATTAGAAAAACGCTTGGAGAAGCAGAGGGAATTGGAGAGACAACGGGAGGAAGAAAGGAGAAAAGAGATAGAAAGACGAGAGGTTATTTTTAGGTTATTTTATTTCCTAAGAAAATAATTTCATTTAATAAGTGACTATATTTTCTTCAGTTAAAAAAAGGGTTGGTTTTATTGTGGCTTATCCTCGTTCATACTTACTTTATACAAATCTGAATCTTGCCTGTGAGGGGTGTTCAGGGCCAATAAGTGGTAAGAGAAAGCATGTCTTCAGGTGACATCCCAAAGGAGAACCGATTGCAGAGAAGAGTGAGGAGCTAAGGTTAGTGAGCCAGGGGAAGAAGTCAGTTTGATCGGGTCATCAAATGAACACAAGCTTAGGATCCAGAGTTAAGAGGCCAAGGAATTGGAGAGGCAGAAAGACGAGAGTGGGGAGACAGAGGTCTAGTGAGGAATCAAGAGGCTGGGCTTGCGCAGGTCCTTGGGATAAACAGTGTTGTGTGGGGTTCCCAGGAGGACAGGCTGTGTTTTAAAGGGCTGGGGATGGAGCACCGTAAATTATAAATAATATGAATAGAAGTTGTTTTCTTCCCTGGTACCAGAAAAGGGTGCAGTTATTCCTAGTAACATATTTTTTACGAAATCATCCTTTTGTTTATTAAAAGAAAAGTAACTTCCCTGTGAGTCAATCCATAAATCTGATGGATGAAGTCATTTTTGTGGAAGTTCTTTAATTTAGGCCCATTAATAAAATTAGGTCTGCCCAGTTACCCATAGGCACTCAATTCCTGCCTCACTTTTGTCATCTCATCAGTGTTTGAATGATGCAAAATTGCTTATGGAGAAATTAACTTTAATTCATTATTCTCAGGCAGCAAAACAGGAACTTGAAAGACAACGTCGTTTAGAGTGGGAGAGAATTCGCAGACAGGAGCTCCTCAATCAAAGGAACAGAGAGCAGGAAGAAATTGTGAGGTTAAACTCTAAAAAGAAGAGTCTTCATCTCGAGTTGGAAGCACTGGTATGGCTGAAGTTTAAATGAAATTTATCTGAATGATGCTCGAGTTACCTGTTGAGTAATGTCATTGTTTTAAAAATCCATCTCATGACTACATCATGTTTTAATGCAATTAAACAGTTATATTTTCCTATGTGCTTTTTAACTGGACAGTATAGTTTCCTAAAAAGGGGTAACTGGCTCACAGTGCTGAGAATTATGTGTGGTCTCAGTTTAAATGCTGGCAAACCGTGTACTCGGGCAAGACATTTCCCTTCTCTGTGCCTTACTTTGCCCATCTCTAAAGTAAAAGAAAGTGGTGCTGGCTCAGTCATTTTCTGTTTTCACGCTGGTCTGTGGAAGGTGGCCTACAAAGGGACAGCCAGGCGGTGGGAGTGGGGAGCCATGGAGCCAGGGCAGTGCTCGCCCTTCCCAGTTCTTCCCACCTTCACAGTAGGGAAGCTCCACATTTGTCTGTTTTACTTTTGGTGGCATTTTATCTAAGATTTGCTTGGAAAAATGATTCTACTGCTAAAAATAAAAAATGATTAGAAACTGCTGACGTAAGTGATCTATTATAATTCCCTTTAGTTCTGTAAGACTGTAGTTATTAGCTAATATTAACCATTATACTTACTATATTTTACACATCAGATGTCAGAGGGTCAGGTTATTAAAAGACTTTGAAATGCAGAGTGAAAAACTATAAAGGGTCTGGGTAAGGCATACTATTCTACTAGACCCTAGAATCACAGAAGTCTGATCTAATGGTGTAGTAAGGTTTTGCAAAAATGCATGTGGTAGAGCCAAATTTAGATCTTAATTTATTTATTTGGTGGGTGACTTGAAGTAGATTTTTTAAATTATCACAATGTTTTTGTTATAAAGGTACTATATTAAGCCTTCCAATGGGTAGGAAAGCATACCACAATTATTTTTTTCTTTTTTTCTTTATTGATTAAGGTATTACATATGTGTCCTTATCCCCCCATTGAATACCACAATTATTAATCATGCCACAGTACTACAAAACAGGCCTAAAAAACTTCAATTTCTCTATGTAGCTAATTGAATATCTATCTAAACCATCATCTTGACTATATATTTTTCCTTTAAAATATAATGGGAGACTACCCTAAGATTGATGATTTTTTCCTCAAGAACTGGGTGACACACCGAGCAGTAGTATAGATTATTGTGTAGAGTCTGAAAAGATCCAGAACCTATGCTTACACGTGCTGAAGATAACAAAAGCTCTAGGATGAACACAGCATGTATCCCTTTCGTGTATACTTCTCAAATAGGAAATTTTGATTATTCATGATCTTTTTCCACATCCTACTGTATTAGTTTGCTAAGGCTGCCATAACAAAATACCACAAACCAGTGGCTTAAACAACAAATTTATTTTCTCACCGTTCTGGAGGCTATAGGTCCAAAATGAAGGTATTAGCAGGTTTGGTTTCCTTTGAGGCCTCTCTACTTGCAGATAACCGCCTTCTTACTGAGTCCGCAGATGGTCTTTCCTCTGCTTCTGCATTTCTGGTATCTCGTTTGTGTCCAAATTTTCTCTTCTTATAAGGACACCAATCAGATGGTCTTAGCCCACTCATATGACCTCACTTAACCCTTAATTGGCTCGTTAAAGTCCCTTTCTCCAAATACAGTCACATTCTGAGGTACTGGGGGTTAGGCTATAACATGAATTGGGGTGGACACAGTTCATCCCATAACACCTCAACCCTCTTCTTAGCTTCCATTGGAAATCTCTGCTCTCTACTTCTTTTCGGCTTCTCAGAAAGAACGGGGAGAGGAATATTGTTATAGGAAGAGAATTGTAGCCAGAAAGGCCCTCCTGGACATTGTCTGATTAGAGGACATTAGATGGCAGCAATGAGGTTAGAAATAAGCTCAAAGAAGGTGATGCTAATGCTGCATGCAAAATTTATTCCTTGTTATTCTTTAAGCTTGTCTCTATTTTAATATTATAAATTAGTGCCTCAATGCTGAACTCAGAAGAAACTTAGTGTGTTATATTTGTACTTTCTCATCCTAATATATGGGCTCTTGCACTCTGAAAATGGTGCATTTCCTCCTAACAGTTCTCTTGAGTCAAAAGCTAGAACTCAAATACATACTCCACTTGGTTTTAAACATTTATCTTAGACTGAGTATAAATGACATTTAAAAATTTAAGTAGAATATTTTCCTGATAACATTTTCTATTAGCATTTTATGTTATCTTATATTTGTATGCTCTTCCTGTAGAATGGCAAACATCAGCAGATCTCAGGCAGACTTCAAGATGTCCGACTCAGAAAACAAACTCAGAAGACTGAGCTGGAGGTTCTGGATAAGCAATGTGACCTGGAAATTATGGAAATCAAGCAGCTCCAGCAAGAACTTCAGGTAAGTCCTTTGCTGCTGAATTGTCCTTAAGCATGAACCGTAATTAATAATTCTTCCTAGTAGAGTGGTTTTGATTTTTGGTATCAAGAACCCCTTCAAGTCTCTGATAGACCACCTTCCCAGAAGGAAGTGAATATACACAATCTTTTGTATAATATCAGGAAGTTCAGTGGCCACCTGAAACTCTGGTAGACATCTGGTTAAGGTCTGCTTAATATCTATACATAAATGGACATTTATCATTTTGTGTTTTAAGTTTATATATCTTAAACTAAGGTTATTGCTACTACTTTAGGAAGTTTTGACTTAACATTATTCTTTTCAGAATTGTGGAAGAATGTTGACTATGTCCCCCAGGGACTTGGTAATTCTGTCCTGTACTTGTGCATTAGGATCTAGTTCAGTTGCCATAGTTTGCAGAATAGGGACTCTGAAAGCATTCTGTATCTCTAGAGTCCTCTTAGCAAATTTCCCTTTCGATATGGACTAGCAGATAATCAGCTGTTTTTTCACTTTGTCACTGTGGATATAGGCAAAGACTCAATAACATTTCCCATCTGATTTAAACCTGCTTCCTTAGTTATCCCAGAGTTATTAGTCCCTCTTTGATATACACTTATTTATTCTGGAGTGTCATGGCCTGCTTACACATACCACGTAGCGAATACCAAAGGCACCTCTTCGCCTGGGCCCACTGCCATCCATCATTGTGCTGAAAAGTTTAAGGCTCCAGTTGTACCCCATTAACAATGGCTTTCTTCACACCTTTTAATTTCAGCCAGCCATTCATAAATGGATTTATGTTTAAACATTTGTATTTTTTGTTTGTTTATTTGTTAATCCTCACCTGAGGATATTTTCTCCAATGATTTTCACAGAAAGTGGAAGGAAGGGGGAGACACAGAGAGAAGGAAACACATATCGATTGGTTGCTCGATTGATTGCCTCTCACACACAAGCCTGCAACCAACGTACGTTGACTGGAATCGAACCCACAACCCTTCAATCTGAGGGCTGATGTTCTATCTGCTGAACAAAACCAGCTGGGGCTAAATAATTGTATTTTCAGTCATGTGTACTCCATTCTAGTTTATTCATAAGTTGTGAGCAGTTTACAACTACATATTATTCCTATACTAAGTTTTGAGAGTGATTAAATCATGTTTTGAAGTTTGCAAAAAAAGTGTAGGTATTACAGTTTTAATCAAGCACTACTTTTTCTTTTTATAAGGAATATCAAAATAAGCTTATCTATTTGGTACCTGAGAAGCAATTATTAAATGAAAGAATTAAAAACATACAGCTTGGTAACACACCTGGTAAGTCTCTAAGGTTTGTTTTGCCTTTTATTCTTTTCTGAATGACTGACTATATCAGTATATTCTGTTACTTTTTAAGATAGCATTATTCTGTTATAAATAACATTTTTTGTCTGCAGTTAAAAATTTCAGATTAATGTGAAAAATATCACAGATGTTAGAACATTATATTAATAAAAATAAGTAATAATTGTGGTATGTCTTCCTATCTTAATAAGATTTTTATTTACATATTTCAAATATTAATCAAATAAAATGCCAGAGTACAATTAAACAAGATCTAGGTTTGGCTCTAACACAAGACCGTACATTTTGGCCATATTCCTGCATGAATTGTAAAGAACTGTTTTGTAGGAGATGTTTACTAAATTTAAAGCAAATTGTTGAGCAATGTAGACAATATGATCCCATTAAAATCCTTTGGAAATAAATATTGATTATGCACATATCTAAATGTAAATGCCTAAGAGGGGAATAAGCTGGAAGTTGAGATAAAGGGGAGTTTTTTACTCTTTAATGTAAAAGAGTAAAGTGCCTTTCTGAAAGTGCTTTATTTTACACTAGCTTTTAAAAATATTTTATAGTTTTATACTAGATGTTTATACTTTAAAAATATAATAAAGTTTAAATATGTATGTAAATAGTAAGGTTGCTATTTTAATTTATTGTAATGTAATCTGCATTATATATTTCTTTTTAAAAAAAATAAATTTTTATTGATTTCAGAGAGTAAGGAAGAGGGAGAGAGAGATAGAAACATCCATGATGAGAGAGAATCATGCATTGGCTGCCTCCTGCAAGTCCCCCACTGGGGATCAAGCCCACAACCCGGGCATGTGCCCTTGACTGGAATCAAACCTGGGACCTTTCAGTTCCCAGGCTGACGCTCTATCCACTGAGCCAAACCGGCTAGGGTTGCATTATATATTTCTATCTAATTTCTCCATCCCTGCCTGACTCTGTAAGAAAGCATTATCTAAAAGGAAGCCCTCTGTTCTTACTTCCTTGGGAACATTACTAAATCCAGTTTGTAATATTAATTGAGTCCTTGCTATGAATATTCCCCTGTTCTTGGAAGCACGAAGAATATATAGAAAGCTACTTTGACAGTAGCTGCTGTTAATTGAGTATTTACTGTGGGCCAGACTCTATACTAATGGCTTTATATCCATCACCTCATAAATGAGATCAGAGATATGATACCCATTGTATAGAAAGAGAGCCTGAGGATCAGGTTAGTGAAAAGCCTTACCCCAAGTGGAGCACCACTTCAAGTCCTGGTACTGTTTGAGTACAGAACCACTCCTTACACATTTCTATATGAAGAGCTTCCCAGGATCTGATTTGAAAGGGGGTAATGACCACTGAGTTTTTATCTCTTCAGCTGATCCACATTATACATGTACATTCTTTGTCTTTCTCTAGTTAGACCAATTTGACCAGACAGCAAATGCCAATTACTTGGAAAGAAATAGGAATTTCTACCAAATGTAAACTGTCTGATGTCTGTATTTCAGATTTAGGAATCAGTCTACTTCATAAAAAATCATTAGAAAAGGAAGAATTATGCCAAAGACTTAAAGAACAGTTAGATGCACTGGAAAAAGAAACTGCATCTAAGCTATCAGAAATGGATTCATTTAACAGTCAACTAAAGGTATTTATTATATTCTATTACATTCATTTTTAGTTAGCTGCCTTCTTACCTTCCTTATTTTGATCTAATAAAATGAATATGTGAAATTATTTTTATAGATAGTACATTTTCATTATTTTATAATTTGAGCTGTACTAGAATTGCAAGATTGTTTTACATGTTCTTTGTAGATGTAAACATTGTGTCATGTAACTAACCATCATTTACTATAGTTTTCAGTTTTTGATGACTGTTTTTATTGGCATTTACACATTTTAAGAATAATTGCCTTTGTCAGTATCAAAGAATGGATCTCAGCCAGCATGATCTTGGGCAAAATTCTAAAATCGGGAATATGGAAAATTTACAATAGTCCTGGTAGAAGCTCTTCTAACACACTAAATTCTTTTCTTGTTTCTTTGTTACAATTTAATTTACTTAACCTTTGTGAAATAATGTAATAATCAGTGAAATCTAAAGCATACTCTGGCACTATAAACTTTGCATGAAAATAAGTTCATGATTCATTATTTGCTGCAGTACAGAGCAGAAGTCCAAATTATATATTATATGCCTATCATTCTGTGAAGAATTAGTTGTATACGAAAACTATTCCTATGAAAGAAGATATAAAAAGCTAAAAACCAGACTGATGGCACATCATTCAAATGTGGGAGTTATTCCTTTCTAACTGAGCATAAAGTTTTCAGAGCATAAAGTATTACATAGTTTTTCACAAAGGCAGCTATGTGACTTTTATCTTGCTGACTATTTAGAATAACATGACACAAACTCTAGAATAAACAAATAGAGAAAAGAGGTGATGTGGGTTCAGTTAAGGAAGAGAAATTTGAGGTGCGTATTAATAATACATTTCACACTTGTATATATTTAGAAAAAAAATTTAACCAAATAATTCGTCATTGATGTACAGACAGGCCAGCCAAGTTAACTTCCCTACATTATTTTTTTAATCTGTACATAGTTTAATTGGCTTTTTATCTGCCTTATCTTGCAGTGTGGGAGTATGGATGACTCTGTTCTTCAGTGCCTTTTGTCTCTGCTCAGCTGTCTCAACAACCTCTTCCTCTTACTTAAGGTTATTTTCTAATATCTAGCTCCCTTGCTTTGAGTTACTTTACTGTTTTCTTTTTTTTTTTTAAACTAGCCTATTTTTTGCATTTATCTGAATATCTTTGTTTGAAATAACATATACTATATAGACCCTTTTTCTTCCTGCTTGCTTGAATATCCTTCTGCTATCTAACTGCCTGTTTGAGTCTAATGCCAGAAATCAATATGATTGCCTTTCTCATAAGGAGCCCAGACACTTGGAAATATCACCGGGTTCCTTTACACCATCCCCGTGAGCTGGGTTAGCTGATTGGATGATCACTGATTGAATTAAAAGGAAAGCTAAAGGAGTGTGAGATTAAGTCATTTACCCATATCACTGAAAATAACTGTTTAAAATAAAACTTTTACTTTCTGAAATTTAGGACTAGGTTATATCATACATATAATGGGTTGCTGCTTTCTAATACCGCTTTATGGAACGATTTTAACCAATAATGCAGGGGCAGCTTTAGTTACATCTAGTTACCAGGCTTCATGTTTAGACATGCTTGCACTTAAGATAAAAATGTTTAAATCACATGTATAAATAAAGAGCTCACTTTGTCATATATAGCATATGGGTATTTAAAATACTCAATGAATTCCTGTTTTAATATACAGCATGTCCTCAAATAATGTTTTATTCAATGTCGTTTTGTTATAACATTGATGAGATGCCGTAGAAACTTAACTCCTGTTTATAACAATTAGCCTATGGTAAAATTGGTTTTTCTATACGTTCGTTGTTTCACTTAAAAGTTGAAGAACCTATTGACGATGTTAAGTGAGGACTTACTGTAGTTTAAAAGAAAGGTGCTTCAACTGTACCATGTGCTAACCATAGTAGATTTTGACTGCATTCAACCGGGGACTAAAATGGATGGCTGTAGGCAGTAGTTTGCATATGCACAGCCAAGACAGGGATGTGATAAATAGAGCTCATTTGTTACCTAAGCAAAAATAGGGCAAATTGGAACGACAGCATCAGCTTTTCCTTTGTGGTTATAGCAAAATGGCCAAATTATCTGATTTTAGAACTTTTGCTACAAATTACACAAAAATTTAAACTTAAATATCTTTGTCTGTAAAATGGGTTTAATGATGACTTGTGGATTATAATTCTTTCACATAACATTTAATTCTCCACAGGCCAGCAGATTATTCTTACCTCTTGTTTTGCTTTTTTCATTCTGCTTCCTGCCTTCTAGCCTTTCACTGCTTATTCAAACTTTCACCAGGTGCAATTAGAAAACTAAAAGGGGATGAGACCTATACTGTCAGAGTGGTCAGGAGACTGGCCGTGGTGTCACGAAAGCAAGAATAGAGTCCCTCTGTAATCATCATGGTAAAGTGATACGGAGCAATCAGTTAACATAGTAATGAAAAAGACCCATGCGATTGTCAACAAGGAGACCTTTGAAGATCTTTCTGAAAGTGCCATTTCAGTTGAGTGACTAGCAGAAGCAGGATTGCAACAGATCAGGAGTGGGAGTTGAGGAAGGGTTGAGTGTGAGCAACTTTTAAGAGGAGAGTGAACAGAGCATGAGGTCAAAGGAAAATTTTGGTCTTTGGGAGAAAGACTTGAAGGATAAAGGGTACAAAGTTTGGTTATGTAAGATGAGTAAGTTCTGGGATCTAATGTATAGCAGGGTGACTGTAGTTAACAGTACTGTTTTGTTTCATTGAAATTTCCTAAGAGGATAGATCTTAAAGTTCTTAACACTGAGGAGAGAGAGAGAACTATGTATGTGAGGAGATTGCTATTTTAATGAGATTGATTGTGGTGATCATTTCACAGTGTATAAAATATATAAATTTTTGTCGGTTATATCTCAGTAAAGCTGGGGGAGAAAAAAGAAAAATTAGGACCAGCCTTGGAGTTTTTATCAGCTTTCTGTGAGGCATATGGCTACATAGTAAAGGGATAAGACAAAACGATGGAGATGATGGTTAGGCAACCATATCCAACTCAATGTCTTAATGATGATTGACTAATTTCATTGTCAAATTACCAGCACCTAGTGCATGGAAGATTGTGGGTGGCAATAAGTACATGTTGAATGAATGAATGGTTTTAAATGTTCTCAGTCAGAAATATGCAGCATTTAGGGTTACTATGTAGAGTTTATGAGAAAAAAAGCACAATGAAATTAGTCAAAAAACAGCAGAGAACCATGTGCTAGTATTTCACATTTTAGGAACACTTCTGACTCCATGTAATTTATTCTTTTAAGTAAAGGCTATTTTTTAAATGCAAAAGGAATGGAGGAAGAAAGACAGATTTGAAGGAAATGATAACGAGAGAGGAAGGACCCAGCCAGAGTAGCTCAGTGGTTGAGCATTGACCCATGAACCAGAAGGTCAAAGTTCAATTCCCGGTCAGGGCACATACGCAGGTTGCAGACTCAATTCCCTAGAAGGGTGTGCAGGAGGCAGCCAATCAGTGATTCTCTTTCATCATTGATGTTTCTATCTCTCTCTTCCTTTCTTTCTGAAATCAATAAAAATATATGTTTTAAAAAAGAGGAAGGGAGGAAGGAGGAAAGAGAGATTGAGTGACATTGAATATATAAAATGGCGGTTGATAAAGTCCCTAGGGAAGCAGATTAAGATAATCCAGAATTTAAAGGATTAGATAAAAAGAATACTTCCAGTATAACACATGGGGGATACAATTTAACAAAAGGAAGATAAACGATCCAATCAAAAAATGGGCAAAGAACCTAAGTAGACACTTTTCGAAAGAGGGCATACAGAAGGCTGAGAGACATATGAAAACATGCTCAAAGTCACTAATCATCCAAGAGATGCAAATCAAAACAACAATGAGGTACCATCTCACACCTGTTAGAATGGCTATCATCAACAAACGACAAATGCTGGCGAGGATGTGGAGAAAAAGGAACCCTTGTGCACTGCTGATGGGAATGCAGACTGGTGCAGCCACTGTGGAAGACAGTATGAGTTTCCTCAAAAAACTAAAAATGGAACTCCCATTTGATCCAGTGATCCCACTTCTAGGACTATATCCCAAGAAACCAGAAACACCAATCAGAAAGGATATATGCACCCAGATGTTCATAGCAGCACAATTCACCATAGCTAAGATTTGGAAACAGCCTAAGTGCCCATCAGCAGATGAGTGTATTAAAAAACTGTGGTACATCTACACAATGGAATACTATGCTGCTATTAAAAAGAAGGAACTTTTACCATTTGCAACAGCATGGATGGAACTGGAGAGCATTATGCTAAGCGAAATAAGCCAGTTGGAGAAAGATAAATATCACATGATCTCACTCTTATGTGGGATATAATGATCAACATAATTTGATGAACAAGAATAGATCCAGAGACGAATGGCAGGAGTGGGAGGGGAGGTTAGAGAGCAACCAAAGGACTTGTATATATGCATATTAGCATAACCAATGGACACACACACTGGGGCGGTGGGAGCTTGCCCGGGGTGGGAATGGCTGGGTGTGGGGGAGTCAAGCGGGCAAAAAGGAGACATATGTAAACCTTTAGACAATAAATAAAATAAAAGAGAAGTACAAATCAAATAAAAAATCACATGGGAAAAAGATGGGTGTGAAGTTAGATTTGTTGGTGGAGAATAGGAAGTTGACAGCTTCAAGGCTTAAAATTAGAAATAAGTTGGACTATTATAAGGAATCTTCCTGGGCAGTTGAGAACATGGAGTAACTCAAACTAGACTAGAAGAAGATGGGTGCAGATGCAGGAAGTTTTATTGATTTTGAAATGGAAAGAAGAGGGAGTTGTAGTCTGATGGTTTAATGAGGCAAGCTTACTAGCTGGTCTTGCAGAGAATGGATGGAAGGAAGATTAGGAAGTTTCAGGGCAGAGAAGTAGACATCTCTGGAGTGGAGGGTGCAAGCTTAGTAGAGGAAAACAGTAGGTGTGCTGAGCAATGTTGAATGCCCGTTTGAAGTTGGTGATCGTGAATTTAAATTGAAAACAGCATGTCTAATTGTATCATTTTTCTCCACCAATTTCAGCTGCTTGGGTGTAAGCACTGAGAAGGCTGATGAAATAAGTCCTTAGGTTTATGCAGGTTTGAGGTTTTAATAGAAATGGCCAAAGAGGAAGGGACCGTGGAGTTACAACCCTGTGACACAATAATTATTATAAAGAGCTCTGAAATATGGACTGGACATGAATGGATGTGAGGAGAAGTAGAGGTGCTGATGAAAAAAGAGAGCATGATGGGGTCAACAGAATGGAGGTCTAAATGAGTTTGGAAAACTGTTGAAATGGATGTACCAGATATAAGAAAAGCTCAAGGAGTAAGAAGTTGTTTGAAGAATGGGATATTTGATCAATGGTAGTTCTGTTTCTGATGTTGAGAAGATGTAGGTTATAATGTGAATAATGGATTAGATGGAGTAAAAGATCATTGTTGAGGAGATCAACCTGAGAGTTGAGGTTTTGATTTGGTCATCTATGTGGATGTCATTGGAGAATGGTAAAGATGAGTCATTGTGGATCAGTGACCAGGTGATCAATACCTAACAATAAGAGGAAGGGGAGGGTGGTATTGCTAGATGGTACAAGCCTCAGAAAAATATATTTTGTAAGAGTGAGGAGAAATAATATTCTGTAAGTGACAACAAAGACCAAGGAAAAATACTAAAGTTACCACCTGGCTCTAATTTTATGGAATACGTGATAATCAACTGAGAAAGAACTAGAAGAAAGGCATTATCCTAAGGGATCGGTCAGAAAGGCAAGGAGGTAAGGGACTTTCCATTCAGAGAAGATATGTGGCTTGTGGGAGTTTCCTGACCACTGAGAGGAAGTTCTAGGGCATTGAAGGGGTCTGAGGAGAGGAAGGTTGGGGGATTGGGTCAGATCAAGGGAAAAGCAGCATTAAAAGCAGAGAATTCAGGTAGTAAAGAATGACAAGGTTAGTTGGTAGGTGAGATGGAATTGGTCCCAATGGTCTTGAAAGAAGATAGACACTTAGTTCTAGCTCTATGACCCTTCGGGATAGTAGAGCATCTGATCACTCCTTTAGGCTACTTATGGTGAAACATGAGTAATATTAAAAGTATCTTTAAAGCCCTAGCCAGTTTTGTGCAGTGGATAGAGCGATGGCCTGCAAACTGAAGGGTCCTGGGTTCAATTCCAGTTAAGGGCACGTACCTCAGTTGCAGGCTCCCGGGCATGCGAGAGTCAACCAATCGATATGTTTCTCTCATGTTCGTGTTTCTCTCTGTCTCTCCCTATCCCTTCAACTCTCTCTAAAAATCAATGGAAAAAAATATCCTCTGGTGAGGAAAATAAATCTATATATATAAAAGCCTAAGTGACTGATCAACCAGTTGCTATGACACACACTGACCACCAGGGGGCAGACGGTCAACACAAGAGCTGCCCCCTGGTGGCCAGTGCACTCCCACAGTGGGAGTGCCACTCAGCTGACCGACGGGTGTTAGATGCAGGGCTCACAGCTGGCCACTGCAGCCCGAGACCGCAGTGGAGCAGCAGTGAGCCTGTCAAGCAGTGGTGGTGGCAGGTGCTGCGGGGCCGGGATGAGCAGGAGTGGCAGGTGGTGTTGGACTGCCAGTTTCCGGCCCGATCCCCGCAAACTATGCCAAGGGACCACCCCACCAGTGCACGAATCCGTGCACCGGGCCTCTAGTAAATAAATAAATAAATAATCTTAAGAAATTGTTTTATTGGATTCTGTAATAGACATATAGAAGATCAGTGATAATTTTTACTCCTTTGCTCACATCACACTAAGACAAATAGAAAAGCCAAAAGATGAGACATTTGATAGGCCATTATTCCATTAAGGAAATTCACACAATATTGTATCTTTAGCAGTGAGGAACAATGAGAAAAGTACTGGCCTAGGAATCTAAAGAAATTAGTTCTGGTCTCTTCCATGTCATTTGCTAGTTGTGTAACTATTTGTCATTTAATCTCCAAACTTTGCTTTCTTTTTCTATAAAAGTAAGCTGACAATATCGGCTCTTCCTTCTTTGCAGAGTCTTATGAGGATTCAATGAGAGCACATATATGTGCTGTCCACATATTTTGTTCTTATTAGGGAAGGGATTATCATGAATCTTCAAAATATCTTTAGTGTGTTGGAAAGTCACCACTGTTGACTTTGGATAATGATTGGGGGGTACTTTTCCTTAGAGGGAAAGACCTGTCAGTAGAATCTTTAGTGGGTTAGGTTCTTCTTAACCTGTACTCCCAAGGTTCTGGAGTAAAGGCAAGGTGAGATTTTAATTTTAATTAGTGACAGTAGGATAACTAATTTGGAGATCAGGAACAGTAGTCCTTTGGATTTTGAGTAAACACTTAAATAAGCTATATACTAGGTATACTTGATTAGATTACTATGTAAAAAATTGGCTGAATGAAATTCCTCTTAAGATGTTATAACAAGCACATTGTTTTAAGAAGTTTTAATGCATTGCTTTTATATTAAAATGAATTATCAAATCAAAGAATTGGTTTGTAAAGATTCTGTGTTCCTTAGAAATGAATTAATACAAAACTAGATGATTTTTAACAGGTATTTGTCTTCAGTGGCTACATGGCTTAAATATATATTGTATTCAGTTATATTTTTAATCATTTAGATGTTTTTAAACTGTTAATATTTTTACTTTAGTTTATCTTGCTTTAAGATTTTTGTCTTTTAATGAAAATGACTCATTATATAAAAAATATTTAAATCAGTGGCCTAATTGACTTATTTTCTTTTCTCCTTAGGAACTGAGAAAAAGCTACAATACACAGCAGTTAGCTCTTGAACAGCTTCATAAGATCAAACATAACAAGTTAAAGGAAATAGAAAGAAAAAGGTCAGAGCTAATACAAAAAAAGAAACAAGAAGATGAGGCTGTAAGGTAATATAGCTGATAAAGTTATTATACTACTAGAGGCCCAGTGCATGAGATTCGGGCACTGGAGCGGGGAGGGGGGAAAGGCACTTCCCTCAGCCTGGCCTGCGCCCTCTCGCAGTCCAGGAGCCCTCGGGGGATGTCCAGCTGATGGCTTAGGCCCGCTTCCCGGACATCCTTAGTGCTGCCGCAGAGGCGGGAGAGGCTCCTGCCACTGCCACTGTGGTGAGCCATGAGCCCGTGAGCCCAGCTCCTGCGTTGAGTGTCTGCTCCCTGGTGGTCAGTGCGCATCATAGTGACCAGTCATTCCACCGTTCAGTTGATTTGCATATTAACCTTTTATTATTTAAGATACTATTCTAAGAATTCTAATTTTGTTACCTATACCTCTAGTTTGACTACAAAAATTGAAGGGGAATAAAGGATAAACAAAAGGATTGTCCTAAGATACTATTTAAATTCTAAGTTTTAGAAATTCAGTTCTTCTTTTAGGAACTATATTTAAAGTAACCAATTTTATGTTCCATTAGTGAAAAATATGGGCTTTGGAATCAGACCTGAAAGATGAAAAAAAAAAATACTTAGTTTTGTAGAGTGATAAGACTGAGTGTAGAATTTCATGTTGTGCAGTTCTCTTTGTACTACTGAGATTTATCAGTTGCCTCCATTTATAGCAAAGAAAAGTAGGACAGTGTGGTGTCTGAAACATAGAACCATTCACTTAGAGCAGTGATTTTCAGCTTTTCATCTCATGGCACATATAAACTAAATACTAAAATTCTGCAGCACACCAAAAAATATTTTTTGCCCATCTGACAAAAAAAAGATATAGCTACTCATATCTCTTCGCTATAACAAATATATAATTACCGTATAAGAGTACTAGAGACCCAGTGCAAAAAATTCATGCACGGGTGAGGTCCCTAGGCCTGGCTGGCAATCAGGGCCTATCAGGGCGCCTTGCCTAGTCCCAATCGGTGCTGGGCCAGCCAGGGCCTGCAGGATGGGGGGAGGGACTGCGGGAGGTTGGCTATGGGAGCTCACTGACCACCAGGGGGCAGCTCCTGTGTTGAACGTCTGCCCCCTGGTGGTCAGTGCACGTCATAGTGGCTGGTCGACAGGTCGTTTCAGTCATACTGATCTCTTAGGCTTTTATATATATAGATACTTAAGTATATATTATCTTACATCTAAATAGATGTAATATTTCTTCAGTTTGTCAAGAGCACGACCTATTTTATTTTTATTTTGTTTTTAAAAAATCAGGACATTGTGCAAACTCTTTCTCTTTTATGTGAAGGAAAGCAAAGCAAGGAAAAGAAAACTTATGGAGAGAAAATCTTAGAAAGGAGGAAGAAGAAAAACAAAAGCGGCTCCAGGAAGAAAAGACCCAAGAAAAAGTTCAAGAAGAGGAAAAGAAAACTGAGGAGAAACGATGTAAGGATACGGATAAAAATAAGATTTGATTTTTCTGAGACAGAGCAACAAAAGAAAAAAGAAAGATTCTGATGAAAGGCAAAAAGAAAATTAAAACAGATAATTATCTTAGAATCAGAAAAAAAGTTCTTTTCTAAATTAAACTTGGATGAGAACTGTGTAGACTTATTTAAACAAACTGAGGGTAGCCCAGCAGGTATGTCTCAGTTGGTTAAGTGTCGACCCATAAACCTGGAGGTTGCAGTTCGATTCCTGATCAGGGCACATGCCTGGGTTTCGGGATTGATCCCCAGTAGGTGGTTATAGGAGGTAGCCAATAAGTGATTCTCTGTCATCATTGATGTTTCTATCTCTCCCTCTCCCTTCCTCTCTGAAATCAATTAAAAAATATATTAAAGAAAAAACAGACTGAGGGTAGAAATCTTAAAACAACATTGAGAAAAGAAGGTAAGTCATCACTATAAACAGACCATGATGTGGTTTTCATAATCTAAGTAAACAGTTTCAAATATTTTTTTCAGCTAGTGTAACTAAACTGTTTATTTTTTTATTATTTCTTTATTGATTTCAGAGAGAAAGGGAGAAGGGGAGAGAGAGAGAAACATCAATGATGAGAATCATTGATAGGCTGCCTCCAGCAGGTCCCCTACTGGGGATTGAACCCGAAACCCAGGCATGTGCCCTTGGCCGGAATCGAACCTGGGACTCTTCAGTCCGCAGGCCAACGCTCTATCCACTGAGACAAATCAGCTAGACCTAAACTGTTTATTTTAATGAAACAATAAAATTTTAAGTCTTTGCACATTAAAATTTTTTAGAACATTACTTTGTTTTTTATATACCATTCCTAAAATATTTTTATTATATCTCTTTTGAATGTATAGATCATTAAATCCTTGATAATACAATGTGTTGAAAATTTTATAAGCTAAAACATTTATTCTACAAATGACCAAAGTAAAATATCTTAATCTTATCAAGTCTAGTGTATTTGTGAGCCCTTCTGTGGTTTTTCTTTTAGAACCATACTGTAAATATATAGATCTTCCTTTAGTCAGCCCTGGTTACTTGCTAATCTTCTCATTTGTGACCTCCCTTTTTGTGCTCTTTTTCCCTGTTTTATTCTGACTTCACAGATCAAACTAATAAGCCACTTGCTGCTTCCACTTTGCATGGCTCAGCCACCAACACTCCCTTAGATCCCTGCTCATGGTACACCTGCAAGTTATCTCTTTGTTTTACTGCCTCCAACTTCACTTAAGATGAACATCCTTGTTTGCTTTTATAGTGATTCTAAGACTATTCAAGATATTTAAATCCTAACAAGACTATACAAATGGATTTTCATCATACAGTTTGATTCTCAGTTTTCTCTTTTTTCTTTTACGTGTTCTTTATTGAGTCATAGCAAAATGTATACATGAAAGTAGCAAATAATGACAATTATCTTCTCTTTAGGTGAGCCAGCTAGTGAGTTGGTGAATTATAGAGCTTTATATCCCTTTGAAGCAAGGAGCCATGATGAGATGAGTTTTAATTCTGGGGATATAATACAGGTAGGAACAAAGTCTTTTTATCTCATGAACTGAATACAATGTAATAATCTTTTTTATCTGCAGTTTCACTTTCTGTGATTTCAGTTACCCTTGGTCAATCACAGTCTGAAAATATTAAATAGAAAATTCCAGAAATAAAACAATTCATAAGTTTTAAATAGCATGCCATTCTGAGCAGCATGATGATATCATGTTCCGTCTCGGGTGGGATGTGAATCATCAGTGTCCAGCATATCTGTGCTGCATACACTGCCCACCCCTTAGCCACTTAGTAGACATCTCGGCTATCACCTTGACTCTAGCAATGTCACAGTGGTTGTGTTCAAAGTCTGCATCCCTTTCCACTGTAAACGTGTGGCTTTCTAACCACTGTTAACCCTTCTTTTCGTTTCCATAGGTTGATGAAAAAACCACAGGAGAACCTGGTTGGCTTTATGGTAGTTTCCAAGGAAAGTTTGGCTGGTTTCCATGCAACTATGTAGAAAAAATGCCATCAAGTGAAAAATCTGTGTCTCCTAAAAAGGCCATACTTCCTCCCACAGTATCTTTATCTGCTACCTCAACTTCTGAGTAAGTTTTTTTTGTTTTGTTTTGTTTTTAAACATATTTTTATTGATTTCAGAAAGGAAGGGAGAGGGGGAGAGAGAGAGAGAAACATAAATGATGACAGAATCATTGATCGGCTGCCTCATGCATGCCCCTTACTGGGGCTCAAGCCCGCAACCTGGGCATGTGCCCTTGACTGGGATCGAACCGGGACCCTTCATTCCATAGGCAGACACTCTATCCACTGAGCCAAAACAGCAAGGGCTCTGAGTAAGTTTTTAGCTAACAGTGGAGTTTATATAGCTCTGCAAATGAGTGAATGCCCAGTATGTATTTATGTCAGCCTGTGACTTAATTGTTTAT